CACTGGCCTTGAGCAGCAGCAGCCAAGTAGGTGAATCTATGCTGGCTAACCTTTATGCACGCGTGTCATGATGTTGTTGTATTACGTCCCAGCCCTCAAGTTCTTCAAATACGATACTGGCTCTTCTCTACACCAATGCTGCCAGACAGCCTTTCTTCCATTAACAAGTTTGGTGAATAGACTTCCACTTTTCACATCATTAATAACATTAATAAGACCAGTCCCAACAGCTACCTTAAAATGAGCTCTTATTCCAAAATAAGCAAGCCAAGACAGAGTAGATTAGCTGTACTGCTCATGCTCCGCCTTCCATCTCTGCTAACGCACCGTGCTACTTGTAGGATCGTCGTTGACCAGCCCTCCTTACGCTTTTAGCTCCATCGAGGATCACGTGCAGCCACTGTAGCACTAATCAGACAGAATTTGATCACATGCGTGGTCACATATAGAGCAGACTGCCAATGCTTGCAAAGGTTTTGGGATAAGTAATGCCCTTGTAACCCTAATTCTCTGCCCAGATCAGGAGAGGAGACTGTTCTGAGCGCTCTGAAAAGCTTGCAATTCAGTCCTCAGTCTCTAGCATAGCGTGTGATGCCACTCCTGTGGCAGACGGATGACGTTGCGTCTATTTGCTACGCAAGATGACTTAATAAATGAAGTTGTTAAGGGCACTTGTCCTTCATGACCTAGAAATGATTTCACAATGCACGTTCCAGAACTAGGTCCTTATGTGCCAAAGATAGTATCTCACAGAGGCTCCAATAGCATCCTTTCTGCATCACCTTTTCGAAAAGGTGATGCTGCTGGCATACCACGTGCGTGACAGTACAGCTAACAAGCCCAGTCCGTAAGGGACAGTCTTCCGCATCTCTCAGTGGAGACTGGAAACTGCCAGGGTAAACTTCTCACCCCTTTCACTGTTTTTCTGCAAATAACGACTAAAAATCTACAGTGCTTCTCTGTAATCTCTCTTCTGCTACTCATTTATTAATACCACTTGACTGTGCTCGGGTTGGTGTCTCGGCATTTTTCCATCCATCCATAACTGTGCATTCTTCCTCAGTTATTCATACAACAGTTGCTCTAACGCCAGTTAGATGTAGGCCAGTCAAGAACCACTGAGCAGCAAAGACTACAGCAATCACACCAGGAAGGCTGCTACACCCCAAATCTCCCTATAGCCCTTTCACTCGCAATACATCTGTGCTCTACGCCACGCCGAGTACAGCTGAGTTACCTATGGCCACAGATGTCTTCCTTAGCAAGTCTGTCTCATACCCATGCAGCAGATGGAAAGCAATACTGCTTTATAGACTTCTCACTTCGTTCAAAATTTAGTAGCTTTTTCACTTCCAAACGGATTGTAAGCCAAAATGATGCTGACTCCGATAATACAATTAATCGGATCTTTCTCCAGAAGTGTCTGTGCCTGATGGCTTTCAATCATATACAGGTGCTGTCAGCTGTTCCATACTTAGCTTACTTGGTGCAGCTCGATGCATAAAATACCTACCGGTCTCATAGGCTTTAAGATACTCACCCACATTATACGCTAGGATGGCAAGAACTGCTATCACTCCCATTTAACAGACGAGCAGCCAAAATAAAGTAAGAACAATACTTGCAAAGACACTTGAGGCTTCTGCCTTCCCCTGGTTTTATTATAAGGTGCTCTTCAACATACTACTAGGTAAAACACTCTGTTAGTAAACAGTAGTTTATGTGGAATTAGAAGATGGGCACCCAGCCCACGTTCGTGTTCCTGGTATTTGCAAACCTACACTCTTCTCAAACACGCAGGGCAGTACTGTAAGCGCACACCGCATACGCTCCCCCTAACTCAGTATGTTAAACTTGGAGAAATTCAAAGCAAAAAGAATTATGTCATACGTGTTTTGGGATCTGGTACCCAAGTAAAAAGAGAAACGGTCACAACTGCGGCTCGACTGTCAAGTCAGGACAGCTGAAATGAGGTATGTAGGCACTAAAGCAAGGTGTTAGGTCAGACTTTAAATGCAGCACCACAAAGTTCTTCATTCATGAACACCCTCAGTTTGTCCTTTTCACATCCGTTTTGCAGAGGAAGGAGTGAAAATTCTTCTGACCTTTAAAACAAGCCATGCACATTTTCTGAAGGTTCTTTTGGTCTTTTTTTCCCCCTGCTATTAGACTACAGCTTTTTTCTCTGTGTATCTGTACTTTGCTACTTAGCATCAAGTGTATTTCCTAGAAAAATGTACCCACAGTTAAGTTTGACAAATATATGTTTGAAAATGGCACAGCCAGCTGCAGTAGAATTATAGTTTTATAGAGATATTTGTTGGGAATTGCACACCCAACATTGTATTTAACAGCTACTTAAATAAGTCCCTAAGCTTTCCTGAACAACTTAAAACAGTGAAGGGGAAAAAAGGTTTGATGCGATGGTGAACTGTAGTATTCTACGCAAGAATACAGTACTGAAAACCAATCACAAGGGTGTTTCAGTTTTTGTCCCCTTCCAAAACATGAGTTTACCAAAAAATATTAACTCCCAGCACATGAACGTAAACAGATCAAACACGACCAAGTCACATTATAATAATAATCCTTCCTACTACATATTCAAATAATAAGTTATCACACTATTTCACAAGCACAATTTTTCTGCTCAAAAACTCAAGACACCACAACAAAATATTTCTCGAACACAGACTTCCCCAGACCAACACGTTTCAGAAGCGGAATACATGCAGGTATTTTTTTTTATTCCCATAAGGAACAAGTACTTGCTATAATCATCCTGCAAACCAACTAGTATTCTTCCCAACTGGAGTTCTTTTAGAGTGGACCAGAGCTTCACCCACGTGCTTTAAGGACTTGCATTCAGGAAGTCTGCTGCAGAGGGCAGCTCCTTTGGTAGATTTTTTGCCAACAGCATGTACCAGGAGTGTTAGGCTCGGTCCGTAGAAAAGCGCCAGAGGCATTTACCACACCGCCCGCACGTAGCCCTAGACAGGGGCAGCAGTATCTTTACAGACTAACACTTCCTAACCGAATGACTTCACACATGGGAAGCCTACAGCAAAAGCCTAATTTAGTTAAAGCCACCAATTTAACTTGGCTGTTTTCAGGTTCCTTGGCTTTTCTGAAAACCATGACCATACTGTGGCTCAGCCGCTACTTTCGCATTTCAAAATTCATCTGTTTTCTGTTTCTATAGTCCTCATTTAATGACAGCAGGAGCATTTAGTGAGAGCAAATTAGTACCAAGATTTAAGAACATCAGTCTCTAGGAAAATATGCAGCTGACAGTATCTGAGGTAATGAAAGATAGTACTATAATGCACTAAGGTCTACCTAAAGCACCTGGATCCAAGTTCTAGGTCTTACTTTCCTTTTGTGTCTTTTAACAGCTATTTTGCACCAAAAGAAACTTTCACATCGAGTTCCCTGAATATATTAAATGGGGGGGGGGGAATAGGTAATCATTTGCACACACACCTAAGAGAAAGTTAGAAAGCTGGTTTATTTGAAAGTGTGAAATCAAAGTCCAATAAATAAAATGCTTAACATCACCACTGGACACTATGTAGGAAAACTCTGGTAAGACTGGACTGCTCCCTTAGTGCTCCAAGCATGGATGAACCCTGAAATGACTTCCCAGCTCCCCACTCCAAGCCATGCTGTTATCTCAGGAACAATCTTTAACTGTTCATGGCAAGCCTTCCCCAGATGCACGCTGCCGAATTCCTCGCTGCTGGAGTTCCACCGATACCAGCAGCACTACACCCAAAGGTGACAGGGCTCACAGTATCAACATTTTAAGAGTGCCTAGATTTCAGAACTTCTATAGACCATCCCTCTTCCACACTCAGAGCCCTTTGAACTGGTTCATGAACTGTGGTATGCCCAAATACAATTTTTTTTTTATTTTTAATGAGCTATTATTAGGCTGTAAGAACACACTGTTGTTACTCACTGTCAGTCTTTGGGGTGGGGTGTGCGGACAATCCCCATAAATGGTGCTTATGTTTGTTCAACACTGCTATTAAATGACTAGGTTCTTCCAAATAGCAGATTCTCTCAGTTGAAGTTAACTGTATGTTACATATACATTAAAATTCTTTGAAGTTATCAATATGAAAATATCAAGATTGTATCCAAAATAGAATTTCAAACAGCTTACAGAACCTCAGGTGGACAGTCACCAAATTCCGCTAAAAATGTCATGCCCTTTTAGAAACGGCACAAAAACAATTCTGTAACTGCTTTAAAAACTATTGCACAGGGCAAAAGTATGCTTACTACTTAAAAAAATAGAAATAAGCTTGGGCATACGACCCTTTCCTTGTAACACCGGCACAAGTGAACTGACTGAAGAGCCTACTCTTTTTATTTTCTTCTGGGAAAGAAGGGTGGGGAGAGGGGGATGAAGAGGAGGAAGAAAAAATAATGCATATCATAGGTTATTTATTATATAACTGGCTATTAATGAATATTGGAGGCACTGTTTGACAAGCCAGATGAAACCAAGCATATCCAGAAAGAAAGGACAGTACTAAACAAGGCCTCAACGTGGCCACCAGTACTGCAGTTTGCTCTTCAACTCAAGCGAACCTTCTCAACAGCTTTTCTGTAATAGGGATGCTAGTTCATCTTGAATAAGACAGTCTATTTGGGTTTTATACTATTCTTATGCTGTCTATAGGACAATAAAAAACAACCACTACATGAGTATCATTGGTTCAGGTACTCACAGTTTAAAGTCCTGATGCTACCAATTCACCCAGTTTCAGTATGTGCAATTTCTGACTCAAAGGACTTCAAGCCATGTATCTAATTTGCTGGGGACGAGGCACTGCGCAGTTACTACCTCATGCAACAGCGATTTAAAATAAAAATCAGATTTTCCACCAAACTTCCGTGGTATTTGGATAGGGCTTCTACAGATAAGTGATGTTTACAGAAGTCACATACTCCACGTACCAAAGCAATCCGACTCTCCAAGCAGTTCTGCTTTTTGAAAAAGGAAGGAAACCAAATGCTGCTACCAAGCTTTGAACAACAGGTATTTAAACAACCAGGCTTCAACACCAACAAAAAGAATAAACGCTTCCGGTTAGCAAGGTCTATTTAACAGATAATAACACAACCATTTCAAGTCAGTCAATTATAACACTTCAGTAGGCACCCCCCCCACAAGCCCCTCAATCCCCACCATGTTACTACTAGTTAGATACCAGTCACCAGACTTAACTGGCACAGGTATTTTGACTGAGAAAAAAAAAAGAGACTGCCATGTATTTTATTGCTACCAGCGCTCTGGGAATTTGAAGGGGCAATGGATGTAAAGGCTACAATCGCTTCTTCAGCAGATAAAGCAGAAATAGGTTAAAAAAATTAGGAGGACTTAAAAACACAAATAATCAAATAGATGTTTTTCACGTAGTTTACCTCAGTTATTTTAACCAACATTATACATTTTATTATTTAGAAAAGATGACAACATTGCAGAAAAATAAAAGACAAATGTTTCACATGGTGGTATAAAAAGTGTAATGGGAGCCTGGAGGGGAAGAAAGGGAAACGGAACAAAAAAAAAAAACAACCAACAAAAAAAACCAAAAACCCACTATTCCAGAAAAAGTAAAAAGCTAAAACAAATTCCAGATGTTTAAGTCTGAAGGTTTTAGCTTTTTCAAATACACAACTACGTGTGCCTTTCACAATAACAGTCACAACTGAACGAGACTTTTTGTACTACTGCACCCTTCAACAGGCCAGTCTGCAAGTTAAAACAGATAATACAATAAACTGCTAAATCAGTAAGTATGTAATTATGGATTGCTTTTAGCTGTTATAAAAAGCTTGTTTACATATCTAATGGTTCATCTTTTATATTCAAACTGTGCTTAATATTTTTTAGTTCCGACATACTGAAACCCAGCAGCACAGATGGTCTGTGATTATTTATCGCCTTTAAACATATATTCCTCCTTTTTCCAAAGAATGATGCAACATCTATTTTCCACGCATATAGTAGCAAGGAAAGTAATTCCATCTCTTTTTTAGAAGGATATGGCCTCTCGTGAAAGTAGTCTGTCAAAAACTGTTTTTGAGCCTCATACGAATTGTGATCATACTGTTTAGGATCTACTGCTAGAATGCGAAGATCCTCACTAGAAGGAAATTTCTTCACCTCAGTCCTAGTATTAATCTTTTGTCGTTTGAAAGGCACTACCCCTGAATTAATTTCTTTTTCTGGAGATAGAGCTATGCCAGTACTTAAGCTCAGAAGCTGCTGTTCCTTATTCCTTTGGTCTTCTGCAACAAAGCAGGAATCCGATTGCTTTCTTTTCGGTATCACAGAATCATGCTTTTCACCATTCACAAACAGTAGCTCTTTCTTCTCAGTGCGCTCAAGCTGCATCTTCACACTTGAGTTGCTGTCTTTGGGAGCACTTCTACAACGGAGCAAATGTACAGCAATAGCCGTTAGAGTCATATTTCCAGTGTACACACCACAACAGTGGATGCACTTGAAAGCAGGAGACTTTAAAATTGTGTGTACAGTTGGCATTATATGATGCCGCTCTTTCAAATGCATTTCATAGGTTTCTTCACTAACAAACGTACCAAAACAAAAGGGACAGGTTAACACTTTTTTGTTGCACCTATTGTTCACTTCTGCTGTCTGAGGCTTCACTTTGATGTAAACAGGGACAAGCGTCCTTGAATTTAGTCCAGCGAGCACTGCCAAATGTACTTCTCTTTCACCAATGTCTTCTTTTGGTAACACTGTACTGAAATCAAAGTGTGGAAATACAAGGTCACCCTGAGCATCATTACCTAGTTGAAATCCTCTGTTGCTATAGTCTGCATGTAACTGCTTCTTCCCGTTGTGTGTAGTTTTATTGTGCTCCACGAGGCTTTTTAAGTCATGGAAAGTAACTGTGCAAAACAAGCAAGCTAAGCCATGCATCAAGAGATGTTTCATGAGCTCTTCCTCACAGAGAAAACATTTACAAGAGAAACACCGGACTGTCTTTTCTGTCATCCACCTTAAAAAGGGCGCGCAAGCTGCGAGTTTGTCAGGTTCCAGGGTTTTCTCCATTTTTACTTCACCATGTTTGTGGGCCACCTCCATGTGCACCTGGTAGACATTTGAGGGGAAAAGCTCATTGCAAACAGGGCAAGTCTTCCACTGCTTAGCCTGTCTGATAGCCTGACTTGTTTCAGGACCAGGTGGGGAGGCTTGTAATGATACATTCTGAGATGTTAAAACCACTGGAGGAGAGGGTGCGCTAGCCGGTGACTGGGACAACTGAGTTACTGTCCCAGACTGCATTAGTTGGATGGGCACTTGTGGTGGCGTAACAGTTGCTACTCCACCACCAGGAGGTACAGGCAAAGTAACTGAAACTGGGGCAAGCGTGTACGTAGGTATCCCATTAACCTGCTTGCCAGTTGGAATCAACTGCCTAAGTATAGAACCTGCAGTCAAGAGAGTTGTGTTTTGAGAAACTGCAGGTTGAACTGGCTGGTTTACTAGGAAAACTGCTGGGGCAACAGGTTGATTAAGCTGAAGAAACCCAGGTCTGACAGGCTGTCTGACAGGAACAACCCCAGAGGCAACAGGCTGGTTAAGCTGGAGAGCCCCTGACGCAACTGTTGGTGCCACAGGAAGGACCCTGGGACCAAGCGATTGGTTGACGGAGAGAACTCCTGGTGCAACCGGTCGATTCACAGGGAGGACTCCTGGTGCAACCGGTTGATTTACAGGGCTGACTGGTTGAGTAACAGGTAGCGTTCCAGCTGCAACCGGACCATTTATAGTACCAATGGGTTGATTAATAGGAAAGAGCCCAGGCCTGACAGGTTGATTAAGAGGAAGAACGGCGGGGGCCACAGGTCTGTTTACAGTCCCAACAGAATGATTAAGAGGAATAGCTCCAGCCCTTGCAGGCTGATTAAGGGGGAGCCTATGGGAAACAAGGATAGGCTGGGAAGGTGATGGCTGAATATTAATGTTATTCTGACCTACGGGAAGATTACTAGATACAAGAGTAACATGTGACGGGGTAACAACTGGAGCGGAAGTTGTATGTGGAAGGCTACCAGAGGCACTTGGAACAGTCAGTGATCTGACTGTGTTTTGAACTGCTTTTGGCTGCACCACACTCTGGTTTTGATTATTCTGTGGAAATGCAAGCTGGATGCAAGCCGGAGCTGTGACGGAACCTGCTGGGGCAGCGGCAGGCCCTGCAGATGGAGCAGCCACTGACGTGCCCTGGGGAGGCTTTGGAGCAATATGCATTTGTTTCACGAGTCCTGGTTTCTTAATATGTTCTGAAATCACAGACCGAAGTTTGTTCTCCAGGTCTCGGTGTGTTTCAGCTGTCAAGACATGATACATTAAAGAATCTTGGCTGTTTGCAGAGGCATTACATTTTTTACAGTAGTGCTCAACAGAATTCTCTTTACTTTCATCAGGTTTCTGGCCAAAATATGTACTTATTAAGTTTTGAAAATGGTTCATCAGCACATGTTTCTTCATATTGTAATACAATGTGTCTGTAAAGTGACATTTTAGACATGTAAAGTTTATGATGTCACTCCTGAATTGTTTCATGCCATCCAAAATGCTGACTGTATAGTTCTGTATTCTTTTATTAGATGAATGAAACATCCGGATATGTTTTCCTACTATTTTGGGATCAGAAGCAAATGCACATTTTGGGCAAGGAACCACCAGCTCTTGGTCCATTTCATCCTCATGGTAACGGTGCAAGTGATTCTTGAATGAAGTAAGCAATTTTGACGAGAACTTGCATAAGCTACAGCAGTACGGCTTTGTTCTGTATCTCTGCAAACAAAACAAAAACATCCACTTAGAAACTGCCAGTTCCTAAATCCCTGTTATCTGTTTGAAAGTAAGTCTGCCCTATCACCTGTCCAAAAAAATGCCTTCACTGGATGTATAGCACGTATCTGCTCAGTTTCATGGAGATCTGTTTTTGAAAAGCAGACTTAAAGATGACATACTTAAAGGGAGAAACATTTGTGCCTTTTTTGCTTCTTTACGATTTTTTAAGAAGCCTTAAGTGAGTTAATTTCTACTCTGGTTCACAAAAAGTAATTCTGAAGCCCATTTTTAAAGATGGGAATCACAGAACAAGCTAAGAAGAATTTGTACACCACTGTACATAGGAGGTGAAGCCTTTTAATATGACACTTTTAAAGCAGCCCTTTTAATTTGACACTTTTAAAGCTTTATTTAGTTCAGGGCCACCTCCTATCTACTGGAGAAAAAGAGAGAAGAGAGAAGGGGGTGGTGGGTTTTGGGTTTTTTTGGTGTATTTCAATACCCTATCCTTCACTGAAAGCTCTCCAAAAGTACCTCTCCCAGCAAAGCCACAAAAGACTAATTTTTAAGAACATTCTTTTGGAGCCAGATTAATAATAGAAAGAGAAAGGAATAAAACCCCCTTTTATGATAAAGCAGCAATGACCTCTTTGTATTATCTCAACATACTGGACATCCCATCACAGTAATTTCTTTAAGAAATTTCCTCTAGCACACTCTATATATAGAGCATATAGATTCTTTGCAGAAAAATATTTTAACTGTATAAAAATAAACCTAACTATCGTCCACTAAACAGTGGTTTGCTCCCTCAATTACATGCCACGTGACAGCATTACTTTTCGTATCCATATGAACATTATTTGCTCTTTCCGAAAAACTGGTAGCCCTATCAACCATGTTTTCTTATCAGCTTCCTAGGAAGTTAACCCTGGCTCCTGCCAAAAACTACAGAATCAGTCACAGCAACATCCAGGTGACAAATCTGCACTCTCAAACATCTGGTGGAACTTGTCTGTTCCCTCAGATGTGTTCTTCACCTTACTGACTTCTACCCCTTACGAAACACCATCCAAAGGGAACAAGCTGTTCCACCACTACAGCATCCAGCCTAGCTAGATCACCTACATACAAGTCACAGACACGTTATGAAGCACTGTAGCAAAAAATCTGTGCAGTTATTTTTTTGTCATTTCATATAGCCATGAAGATGTTACCTATTAGCATTACTAGAAGAGTCTCCTGATGATAACCAAAATCCCACCTCCAAATTCAAAAGACTGGGTCAGACAAAGCCACTGGCTGGCTAAGGCTGCTGAAGAGTACACTGTGAAGGTATCACTGGATTAACCTCTACTTACACTCTTAGGGTGTCTGGCCTCAGCTGCTAGTAAACAGCACCACAGCAAGTTAGAAGCAGCTTCAATCTTACTTTTAAAGTATACTGAGTAGAGAAAGACCACTGACACTACTGAACTAATGAAGCATACAGAGCATTATTAAAAGCTGCACCTCACTAGCCTTACTTCTGAAGAAGTCACGTGACAAAGAGAGATGACTGCTTATTTTAACTGGTTGTTTGAGGCTTAGAAACGCTTATATGCTTTTAAATATTTTTTTACCCCCTTTTCTTCCCTCCCACCTACCCCCCATTTCTGGTTTGGGTCCTTCTGTCCCCATAAACTTATACCATAGTGGAATACACTGTCAATATTTCCTTGCTGCCAAGTCTGAACAATTGTTGTTACATGCAGTGAGTGAGAACACTCTATTTTACAAGTAAGTGGTCCAAGTGCTGAATTAATTTACTATTCCGTAGTAACGATGTTTTTACTTCTTATACAAACAAGCATTGCAGTATACCACTAAGAAACCACCCCAGCACCTGCATACTGGTAAGTCTAGGGGAAATAATGTTCCATGCCTTCTTAGATAATTTATTTTTTGATGGAGGTAAAAATTACAAGACTTCAGCAAAAGAAAAAAAAAAAGCTCTGTACCTCAAGTTCTGTCAAATTAGGACGTATCCTAAAGTCTCACTACTTAGCTCAAAAAAACCCAACAACAACAAAAAATCCCAAAAAATTCTGTTTCAGCAGAACAGAAGTATGTGGACATCTGCTACTTTGATGTTTTCTGTATGAAATAGAGCTATTCCACACAGACACCTTAGAAAATCATTTCATCAGCATGTTCTCCTTGCATACGCATCTAAGCTGCTTTTTATGCTCGCAAGTGCTACTACAGTCTACTAATGGCATCTCAGTTTTATAGAAAATTTGGCAAAATAAGAATTCTAAGCCACATAGGAAAAATGAAGCATCTTGGAGAGTGACCAACACAACCCTAAACTGTACAAATGGAATCCAAAAAGGCTTATTAGAGGCATTTAGGAAAACTCGATTAGTACCACTCCAAAGAATATACCCCAGAACGCAGTAACACTTTCCGTTATGTAGTCTCACATTCCCCACAACCTAGGGACAAGCAGAAAGACATGACAGCCTCCAAAACCCAAAGTTCTTCCAGAATTATTGTCTCCCTGAAAATAGTACTAATGGTAAAAACCACCAACTCATCCTAAATAGACATCATCTCCAGCCTACTGAGTTTCCAATGTAGCTCAAACAACTTATTTTCCCCTTATGGCAACAACTTTGGCATAGAACATCCTGAAGGACCAACTTCTTTTCTCCCAAATCTACGCAGCATGATGCCAAGATATGTGAATGATATATATCAAGGAACCACAGTTGTTTAAGAAAAATGGATAGGAACAAGTTTAGTATCCAAAAGACATAGCTTGGCAAATCTGTTCCACAGCAACACATTACATACTCTATGCTGAAGTTCATCAGATCAGATTCCAGTCTTGTTTTTTGGACAGATATAGATACTACTGGTCATGCTGACTACCTGAGTCAGGATCTGTACTTCTCCCTTCTGGTAGGGGATCAGGTCTCTATGCCTGGTCTCTCTCCAGACAACAGGGATGAAAGAAGATTCCCTCTCTAGTGCATGATTTTTAGTTCTTTTCCATTTTCACTAAAATGGCTAATCATTTTTCCCAAAGGACTGTGGAAGGAAGACAGGAAAAAAAAAAACCAAACTTCATCTTAAGTTTTAGACAGGAAGCTTCACTTGCTCTGTCTTCATCCCCCTCTTTCCTGTTTCATGCCTGGGGAGGAGGGGGAACCTCCCCTGCTCATCTAACACAGAAGATCTACCAACACTGAATGTCTTTCTTTAGTCAGAAGGTGGAAGAAAAGGCAAAAGATGACAAAAATCAGCAAGGCTAGAGCTCAGATAACAGGCCGACTGGAGCCAGGAGACCTGATAAAAGGAGAAGTTTTCCATGTGCATAAAGAAGAAAAAAAAAAGAAGCGGGGGTTGGAGATAGAGACCATCATAACCATTAACAGGATTTATTCCATTCACCTAAACTAAAGGTAGTCTTGACTGAAGGTAACTGTAAGCCATATCTGAAGTGGCACTAAGAGGCTAGATGCAATCTGTCTCTAAGGACCTAGTCAAACAACAAGTCACATTTGACTCTTTCATCCACAAATTCACATGAACAGATGAACCTCCAGTCTTAAATGTGTGAACCCAAGTTCAGGAAAGGAGAACTAGGAGACAAAGCAGACAAAGGTCCTGAAGGGCGGGAGGGGTCACTTTCCACTAAATGACAGTTTGACAAAGACTGAGTGGCTTTGTTTGGTCAGCCTGTATGTTGAGGGCTTTGTTAAAAAATGCAACTATTGCACCTGACAGACTGTTTGTTTTAAAGGTAGTAAAGACAGATAAAAAAATCCTGGCAAACCACCACCACACTATTCTAAACCATTACCTTTTGATTCAGGATGAAAAGAGCAGACCCACCGCTGTTTACATGCTGTTGACAGGCCTTCCTCATGGAAGCAATGAGGAGCCCCAAGATGCTCCAGCGAGACTGAGAAAAGACCACCTTTTCTTCTGGATATACTCCTATGCTCTATATAGTATCTTAGAAACTTGCTAGAATACAAAATTATGGAAATCCTTTGGTTTGTTCATCTCAACCCTGCCTTTCTTGTAGATTCTAGCTTCACACAAGATTCCAGCTATAAAGCTGTTTCACATACACAAATCTAACTGGAATACGTTTTCCACTGCAACTCTATTGCAAGCCACTAATGATAATTTCAGCTTAATCCACTCACATCTATGCAATCGCATTTTCACCCTTCCAATGAAACAAGAAGCATGTTTTATACAAGAGCATGTTAAGACTACACATCAGATTAGGCTAAAAAGGCAGAACATTAGTGTGACATCTTAAATACTGATGTTCAAGGTTGTATCCTTAAAGACAGCAAATGGCATATATAGTCCTTATAACCAGCTGCATTACAGGGAAGAACACAGAGGAAGTTGAAGATTATTCCCTGACTAATAGTACTTAGAAAACAGATGTTAAAGCTTTTTTTTTTTTACCATAGAAAGGTGTATTTTAACTTTTCCAGGACTTCTGAAAGTGATAAAATTCAGCGACTCCACATGCAAGTCTGAATTTCTAACACAAATATACGTACCTTCCTTTTGCCCACAGACTCCCAAGGAGAGACATCACTCCATGAAGTGTTACAAAAGTGTTTTTCACCTGGGTCAAAACTTCGAAGAGTCTAAAAGAAAAAAAAAACAAGAAATAATCTGCTTTTGCAATCTGTTCTGAATACAAAAATAGTCTCAATACAGAGCAAGGAAAAAGAAAAAAGGAACAAAAAAACCCACACAACAGAGGATGAATGGAAAGTCCATACAGTATTCAGATACAGGTCTCAAAATTCAGTTCGAAGAAATTACTCCTTTGACCCGTCTGATTTATTTTGCCTCAAATACTTGTTCATATGACTGCCTCGTAATATAATAGGAATTCTGAACACTTCATAGTTACTGAAAATAATATAGGAGTGAAAATATTTACACTTTAATTCCATTGCTTCTAGCCAAGTTCACAGTGAACACTGAAAGATATTTTCTCCCTCTATCTTCCTCCTCCTGTAATCTGTAATATTTCACTATTTACTTCCATTTATTCATTTACCACTATGGTTTGCTTTGCAACAGGTTTTAGTATTAAATCTTCATAGCATTGCTATGCTTTTAACTTGGAAAAACAAAGACATTCCAGAAGCTTATTTTGAAGAGCAGCAGTATTCTTCCTCAAGCTGTAAAAGGAACAATATTACTGCATCTGGAACATCCGTGTCAGGGTAAACAACTTTCCTTATAGCATTCTTCTAATCAATCCCATCAGAGCAGTTTGTTCCTCAAGCCAAAGCCAGCTACTACTCTAAAAATCTTAAGCTCCTCTCCAATCTTCTAAGGCCCACACATATCCAAACACAAACTTAATGAAAAAAATAACTAGATTGCTGTTTGCTAGGCATTTCTGAAGACCCTAGGCTAGCTTCAACAGCACCCTAGAGTGTCTTAGATGAAACACAGGCTACAAATCCAGGCTTAACCCACAGAAAACTAGCATTGCTTCTCCCCTCACATTCTCCTTCCCTTTCACAAACCCCTCTTCACTCAAAATTCTGCAAGATGCTTAGAGAGGGAGAGGTGTTTTCACCTCTGCACCAAATCCCATTGGAACAGCAGAAGCAGGTAATAAACACCATTTAAGATCAAATCATCTTTAAGAGAAGTGGAATTCATAAATCTAATAGTTCATGGTCAAAAAAAACAATGCAATATTCATGTGAAATTTACAAGCAGCACAGGATACAGTGAGCAACAGAAAAGAAACAAAGCCTCTAGCAGTCAAAGACACAATCCTACTTAACGCAGGCTCTGTCTGCACTAGGCTCCTGCCCACACTGTGCAAATGTGAGCATCCCTGTGTGTATAACAGATTATAGTGAGCCAGAAGGTCATGCCAGTGATGATTTGATTTAAATTAAATTATTCAAGAATTTAGAAAAATGTCGCTAATGTTTGCAATAAGCTTTCTAGCTTTTTCAACCTTCGAGTTTCCCCAAGGAAAATCCTGAAGAGCTCAGGGCAACAATAAACAAACCCCTTCCATTCTAATCAACATCTAGGCACTGAATGAGTCCTTTATTTGCCCTTCAGCCAAACCTTAAAAGACCACCTTAGAAAGAACTCTTGCATGGAACAAGAGAAATCCCACAGCCTTAGAGAACACGATGCTTTTCTTATATATACTTGATAGAGAAAATGAAGAGACTCATGATTTACTAACATTTCTTCAGCTGAACACACTGGAGTGAATTACACACTGTTAAAGTTTTCTTGAAGTTTATGGCCTACTCCAAACATGTTCTGCTTTTGGTTTGAGTACTCTCCACCAAGAGAGGCTCCTAGACTTGAACACCAGATTCCCACAAGCCAAATGTGTGTGATAGTAAGTCTAGATCATTTTGGCGAAACAGCTATTTCCTACAGAGAATATTCACTGATAAAAAAAGATAACCATTCTTATCACTACAATTAGCCAGTGTGGCAAACGGCTATGCTGAATTCTTGCTTTATAGAGATCCATGTTGACGTCCCAGAAGCAAACTTTGATCAGCTAACTCGTTATGCCCTTCCTACATTTCTCACTTCGAGAAGGGGAGGAAAACAGGAGAAGGGAAAGGTAACAAGAAGGGAATAAAAACCCTCTGAGAAGCCCAATTAATCCTGATGCAGACTGGGTATTTGTAAGTTTAAGAGAAAAACGTTTTAAAACTAAGAACTGTTCTCCCCTCTGTATTAAAACCATCAGTTCTCCAGAATAAAAAGATAAAAACCTCAGAGTTTAAATGAAGACTTAAAGATCACAATATGTTGAAGAAGGTAAAACAGTTTAGTAAAGGAAAGCCTCAGACATTACAGTGTACTTAAAAGTACTACTTTGAGAATCAAACTAGTAATCTAGCACAAAAAGTTCATGTTTTCTTCCTAGCAGAGATCAATTAAGAATTTTTAGCCCAAAAACTAACCCATTTGGTCTCCAAGCTACAAAGAAATACTAGCTGCATGTGAAAACCCTTCACCTTCCTCATAAACTACTGTCCATTATCATGCCTTATTAGAACAGTTTAAGACCAGTTTTAAGACCAGATGGCAGGTCAAGTTTGTATCATATCATTTCATAACATTTCCCTAATTGTCCAGCCTCCTCACAAAGACAATGCCCAGAAATCAATCTCAGTATTTCAGGGAAAAAAAAAAAAAAAAAAAAAACAACCACCAAACTTAAGCTAATTCTCACCTACTGAGACATCACACACCCTATTTTACCAGAGAGAAATACCATCATCATATAAGCCAAGTAGAAACCAGGTTCTAAAAAACAATCTTCGTGCTGCTAAAGTTATACCAAAACCAGGCCCAGATTACCTGGAAAAAACAAACTGAAGTTATGAAATTGGTTGAGGGCGAATTATTTGCAAAACACTAAAATGGTATTTTTTTGGTCCACATCTCACAGAGCTTTTTCCAGAATGGAAATGTTTGCTGGGTTCCCCACCACCACCATTTATTAAAAATTAAGCAAAACCAAACAAAAACACACCACCCCCAAAAAAACAACCAACCAAACGAAAAACAACTTATTCCTCATTCACCATTAAACCTGCATACTGCAATCAAAAAGTTAGACTGCAATCATAGAATCATTAAGGTTGGAAAAGACCTCTGAGATCATCGAGTCCAACCGTCAACCCAACACCACCAGGCCCACTAAACCATGTCCCTAAGCGCCTCATCTACACGTCTTTTAAATACCTCCAGAGATGGTGACTCAACCACTTCCCTGGGCAGCCTGGTCCAATGTTTAACCACTCTTTCACTAAAGAAATTTTTCCTCACATCCAATCTAAACCTCCCCTGGCGCAACTTGAGGCCATTTCCTCTCATCCTATCGCTAGTTACTTGGGAGAAGAGATCGACACCCACCTCACTACAACCTCCTTTCAGGTAGTTGTAGAGAGCGATGAGGTCTCCCCTCAGCCTCCTTTTCTCCAGGCTAAACAACCCCAGCTCCCTCAGCCGCTCCTCAGAAGACTTGTTCTCCAGACCCCTCACCAGCCTCGTTGCCCTTCTCTGGACACGTTCCAACACCTCAACGTCCTTCTTGTAGTGAGGGGCCCAAAACTGAACACAGTAGTCGAGGTGCGGCCTCACCAGTGCCGAGTACAGGAGGACGATCACTTCCCTGCTCCTGCTGGCCACACTATTTCTGATACAGGCCAGGATGCCATTGGCCTTCTTGGTCACCTGGGCACACTGCCGGCTCATGTTCAGCCAGCTGTCAACCAGCACCCCCAGGTCCTTTTCCGCCAGGCAGCTTTCCAGCCACTCTTCCCCAAGCCTGTAGCGCTGCATGGGGTTCTTGTGGCCCAAGTGCAGGACCCGGCACTTGGCCTTGTTGAATCTCATACAGTTGGCCTTGGCCCATCGATCCAGCCTGTCCAGGTCCCTCTGCAGAGCCTCCCTACCCTCGAGCAGATCAACACTCCCACCCAACTTGGTGTCATTTGCAAACTTACTGAGGGTGCACTCGATCCCCTCATCCAGATCATTGATAAAGATATGGAACAAGACCAGCCCCAAAACTGAGCCCTGGGGAACACCGCTCATGACCAGCCGCCAACTGGATTGCTTCAATTTCATAGCAAAAGAACTAGCATCATCAAAACATTTCTACTTCAAAGGGTCAAGACAGAACAGCTTCTGACTTACAGGTTTAATTACAAAACAATATACAACACAATAAAAACAGTAAGAAAATGGAAATTACCAGACAAATACTCTTTTCCCTGAGCTCTTACGATATTTATTTAAATACATCAAGCATTGTTCAACTGCAATAACCAAGAATATTCCAGAATTAGTTTGCATGTAGATCTTAAGCATTTTTTTTCCAATAATTTACTTATACAGTTTCAGAAAAAACACCACAAAAGACACAAAAGCATACCTACGGAGAGTTAACTTAGTTTAGTACCATCATACAGAATTAATTCAAACCCTTGACTACGGTCAATGTGAAGTCATGAACATACTGAACATCCAAAAAGCCTGTGTACCAGCTGGCTGAAATACACTACTGTTTAATCACTGAGTTGCATTACTGTGTGTTGTGGTTTAACCTGGCAGGCAGCTTAATACCACACAGCCATTTGCTCACTCCCCCTGCAGTGGGATGGGGGAGAGAATCGGGGGAAAAAAGAAGGTAAAACTCGTGGGCTGAGATAAAGACAATTTAATAGGACAGAAAAGAAAGGGAAAAGAATAATAACGATAAAAGAATATACAAAACAAGTGATGCACAATGCAATTGCTCACCACCCACCAACCGATGCCCAGCCAGTTCCCAAG